AAAATGTAAATGGAAGTATAAGAAGGGAAAATAAATCAAATATTGCTTAATTGCTTCAATAACATGAATATTGGAAAAGCTGGCGAATGGTTCATATCATAAAATGAAGAACTTGGCTTTAGTTTAGTAGTGATTATTCACTATTAAAAAATAGTTCGATCTCAGTTCAATAGTGAATAAAAGAGAACACTTACAAAACCATGAGCACATACTGTAGAATAAAACAGAAATTACCTGGAAACTTATACTACACCACAGTACTAAAAAGGATTTCTCAGATATGTCTAGAAGCTAGTAACTTGAGCCCTGTGTTCTGGGAAATATCAAAACATCACAAATAAATAAATAAATAGATAAGTAAAAATTAGAAGTCGAATGTAAAAGAGTGTAAGGGAATATTTTAAAATGAAACCGTTTAAAAACTATGAGTTTGTCTAAGAAATATTATGTGATCCATAGAGGACAGATAATTTATCTTAAAATATCATTTTCCCTGAAGAATCGCATCACAAGAGAAAGTTTATAGCAAGTTTTGTTTTCAAAACTTTTCTCTAGTTATCAAAGGAAAAAGATAATAAAAGATAAATAAAAAGAACCAGAAAAATGAGTTTTTGTGTACAATCATTGCAACTGGTAAGTCTCCCATGGAGGCTTTCTCTTCATATTAGCGTCATGACTTCATGGTTTTCCATTGGTATTCCACATCATGACAACATGCAGTGCACTGGGGGTTCTAAAATTCCTTTTCCCGGCCAATGCCAGACCGTTTTTGCAATTATTCACATAATGTTTTTTTCAGAATATTAAGAATTTTTACTAATTTTATCGATCCAATTTCTTCAAGCACTGTTATGTCAGTTGTCATTTAACAGTGGAATCGTCGATTTAGAGGTAACCTGGGGATAGTTATTCTTGAGAGAGTTAACAACCGGCATAGTGGTTTATAGCAAAGGTCTATCTATCTATCCCAGGATCTTGTTCTCAAAAATGATCAAAACCAAGATGCATGGAAGAGTAAAAATGCCTATACAGAATCTCCTAATGCAATTATAGCATCCAAAGTTTTGCAGCTTAAAAGACTTTGTAAAACTGATGTTGCTTGTTTATTTAATGGTATTCATTAGATCCTCCAAGTACTTGTTCAAGATCCCTTCAACTTCTTTAGAATATTTTCTATTTGTAGTACTATTCTGCAATGAGTAAAAGCTAGACTGAATGAGTTATTTGACATTGAACTCCGGAGTCTATAGAATATGCCTTAAAGTTCAGTGCTAACGAAAAAAGGAGAAGTTGAATTAATGGAAAAATAATAGAAGTGAGCAGGTAGCAAAAGAATCATAACTGCTACTGGCAGCCAATTTATTCATATTTTCTATCTATTTGGGGAATTTCTATTTATTTTAGAAAGGATGAAATCTGTGACTGAACACAATTTTTCTACTACAGTGACTTATGAAAGATAATAGTTCGTACTGTTTCTTGAAATACTAATGGTAAAAATGTATGCAGTCTATACACAACTAGATGCAATTGTTCATGGATAGCACAGCACTCCAAGAAGCATTTTTGTCTTTAATCCTGAGTATGTTACTTCATGTGGTAGTTCCTAGGACACTCATACAATCTTAACTTACAAACTTATATTGATATATTCATAAAATATTGATAGCTTAGTTTAAATTTTATTCATTTTCCTTGTTCTACAGACTGATTTTCATTTTTCTTTCCTTTTTTTTTTTTTTTTTGTTTGTTTGTTTGTTTTCATTTTCACTGTTCTTTATTTGCAAAGAGATTTTTAACATTAGGTAGAGAATAATACTTCTAGTTCACGTGACTGAACACTTCAAGTTTATGTTTCATTTTATGTGTATATAGCAGTACTGTTGAAGAACATTATGAGTCACAACCTACACCTGCCACAATCACAATAGTGGAGGTAATGCTTTTCCTATTTAGGAGCTCATGAAAATGGATTAGCATTTGTCAGCTCTCTGGTATGCATGCTAACAGAACATGTATGTTTAACACAGTGTCTTTATCTTAAACTGTGCATTCTGGTTGCTTGTTTTTCTATATCAAAGGTAAACAAAATCAACCCTGAAAACATTAGAATTCTTTGCGTATTGATGCCTGAGCTTTACAATCATTGGTTTTTCCCTCCATTCTTGAAGGCCAGCTAGCATGAAGGCCAAAATGTTTTTACCAGGCAAAAGCACAAGAAATACAAAGAAATACATGGACAGTGAAAGATGGAAAAATGAGGAGATAAGAGTAACTTTCAAAAAACAGAAAATATTTTTTTCAGGGGAAATCACTCCTGCCAGAGCATGCAGTCTTTCTTACGGTGCTGTTGGGAGCTTTGGAGATTAGAATGAGATAAGAGGTGCTTAATGATGGATTTGACAGATCAGCAGAAGGCCACTGCTTCTCCTTGCAGCCCATATGGAAGTGCAGTGAATGCACAGAGAATGCACAGTATAAACAGAGATTGCTGGTCTGGTCTAGGATCAACAAATGCTTTGTGGACTATTCACTGCAGGGCTAGCAGGAGAGAAGGAGGAGGACCTCCACAATTTGTCAGATGATGCATAACATATTACCCTTTCTCACCTAACTTCAGACACACTTTGGTGACACATTCTGCTGGTTTTTTAAGTGTATTTCTTTCATCACTGTTTAGATCCTCAAGATTCCCCAACAGTCCACTAAAATTGTGCATGGCTTAAAATTTTACAACTTTTTGGATGCTGAGTCTGGAAGCCACAGTAGAAGCATCAGCTTCGCCATGTGGTTTCATGGCTTTAAAGATGAAGGTGAGAGGAAAATGAGTAAAATTGACAGATGATTTTATAAGGCTTTATGAGTCATGAGTCTTCCCAAGTTTGGCGACCTGGAAGATGGAAATTTGCAAGACATAGAACCGTAGAATCATGAATGTTTGGAAAAGACCTCTAAGATCTAGTACAACTGTTTACCTACCACCAGTACTGCCCACTAAACCTTGTCCCTAATAAAACATCTACCCTTTCCTTAAACATCTTCAGGAAAAGTGACTCCTCCACCTCCCTGGGCAGCCCTTTATAATACCTCACCACTCTTTCAGAGAATAAATTCTTCCTAATATCCAACCTGAACCTCCTCTGATACAACTTGAGGTCATTCCTTTTTAGTTTTCTTATGCTGTTATCAAATCATCAAAGCTTAATTTCAGTCATCTTGTATCATGGATCTTCTGCTACTTGGTTGTGCAGTGTGGCTTTAGTTTGAGTAGGGAAGAAAGCAGTGCTTCCACAAGGCAATTACCAGCCTACCCAATCAAGTATCTTCTAGCTTGAATTGGAAGGTAGATTAAATTTTTTTTCTGAACTTCTTCTAATGTTGGTGATTATAGTGTATTTTGGTGGGGGACTAATTGGCAAAGCTAATTGCTGCCTTATTGTTTTAGTAGTCAATTTCAATATTTGAAATATTTTTCTTTTTTATCCTATCAAAGAAAATTAAAAAGCATTAGACGAAAGAGAATCTGTTTTATAAGTAATATTGTTCTTGACAATGAAGTCTCCAGAAACTTTGAAAAACTGGAAAGGTACAGTGACCTGCTTGAGAAAACAGTACAGTGAAGTTATATCTCTAATAAAGCTTTTTATCCGTATCTGCAAATCTGCAGCACATTTCCTGAAAGTGTACTTATAAATGTAATTTTGCTTGTACTTCGCAACCTTAAATTTGTGGTGTGCATGAACTGTAAATAATGGTTTCAAAAGTCTTACAAGAACAAGACCTGTACAAGAACTTTGAAGGAGATGCAAACTACTACAGCATTATTAGTGAATGGGGGAAAACCTACACAATCTTTTTCCACTATGTAATTCTATTGCACTGACATTTTGTGTAATATCTCCTAAATCACGTATTGATGGACCTTAAAAGATAATCTGCTTAACAACTACAACAACAAGAGAGTCTACACAAGAATTTGGGTTTCAATTCATCTCAACTTGTGCAAAAAGTAGATTGAAGTGGGAAGAAAAAGGAGTTTGATCAGGTAATGGAGGTAACGTAGTCAGAAGGGCTGACTAGAGATATAAGGTAGAAGCACATTCTTTGGAGAAAAGGGCATTTTCAACAGTTAGTAGAGACCACTCTCACCTGAAAGAAGTTTGCAGCAAGGTGGGAGTTGGCCTCTTCTCCCAAATATCTAGCCTTTGGACAAGAAGGAATGGCCTCAAATTGCACCAAGGGAGGTTCAGGTTATATACTAGGAAAAACTTCTGCAAAAGAGTGGTCAGAAACTGGAATGAGCTGCCCAATGAGATGAGATCCCTGAAAGAAACATATAGGTTTGGCACCGAGGGACATGGTATAGTGGGGAAATACTGGTGGGAGGTGGATTGTTGGACTGGATGATCTTGAAGGTCTTTTCCTACCTTGATGATTCTATGATTCTATGAACTGGCTGCCCCTTTTGGATCCTGCACAATTCTGATGCATGAGTTAGGCAGCAGAAGTACCAAAAATACTTGTATGATCATATTTCTCTTTTTGAAGACTTCTGAGCAAAGATATCTAAGAAAATATTTTGGGAGTTTCCATAATAAAACACACGCCCAATCAGGAGAAAAGAAAGATATGTTCCTTTTAAAGCTTATACATCAGATTGAATTTAAGATTATTTCCTTTCAAAAAATAGAATGCATCAGTAAGGAAACATCAAACTGAATAAGTCTGTGTTTCATATGAAATTAAAAAATGAAGATACTGTTTCAAGTTGGCACTGAGTTTTCAGTAACACGCACATTACAAAATACAGATTCTCTTATCATTTAGAAATCACCTCCAAGATTAAACTAAAGCATGAGAGTTAAGAGTTGACATGAGATGATCTGTTGCAAGAGCATAAAGAAAAAATGGTACGTTTTAAGGATGTACTGTTTATCTTAAAGTGTACGAAATTAGAAGAAATAATAGTACCATGATGGAAAGAAGTCTTAGATCTTTACCTTTGTTGCAGCGTCGAAACAGACAAAGCCTGTGCTAAAGTCAATGGTAAGCCCCATAAGATGGCTCTCCAAAACGCAGGCATATGTCTTGCACTGTAAATCAAAAATGAGAGAAGGCAGTTACCATAGCACATATAGAAAACATTTCTTCAACTTCTTTCCAGGACCAGAATTTCTTTGTTTTATTGTACATATATCTCAAAATTAGCATCTGGAAAAAAAAAAGAAAAATGGCAAGCAATTTGTGTGTAAATAGGCCAATTTATCGCTGAGTAACAATAAGTTGTATGCTATTAATGTGAACCACCAAAGGCATGAAAGCTATAAATGTCCCTCAGGAAATTGAAGATTTCTTACTGTTAAAGTGGAGGTGGAAAAGTGTCTGGTTTATTTTCCTACAACACTGAAAAAATTCCAAGTATTTCACTAGATGTATAAAATCTGAATTCAGACAATACAGGGATGCACTTGGTCATTATAATTATAAATGCATGAAAAAAAATGACAATTTTTAATCACAAAATCAATGATTTAACTCTGTTTTGTCATAGTCATATGGTATTTGTATTTATGATAGGAAATAAAATTGTGGGGTTTATTTGTTTTGGGTTGTTGTTTTGCTACGAAAATGTAAAATTTGAATCTAAATCTTTGCTGTTTGAAAAGGAGGTGATATTGCCTTTGGCAATACCTCATTAGTAGAAGAAAAAAGCATTAATCAGTAGAAAGTTATGTATTTCAGAGTGATTTATTACTTAATACATTCTCAAATGTAAAATGGCCAAGTTTTGCATGCAAAGCAAAATAATTTTGCAGAATTATTTTGCTAACTTCTTACAGTACATGTAAAACAACTACATTTTTATTCGCAGACCTGCAAGTTATCTAGAACAGACACACAGCCTTTACTTAGAATAGAAATTTGGCAAAGAGAGAGTATCTCAGATTCAAAATATGTATCCCGGTGTAATTCATCTGACCCCCCTTTCAGCAGCAACAGTCTACAATGCACACCGAGCTGGCACAGCTACTTCTAGAACAACATTGCTTAAACATAGCTCTGTGCCTGAGCCAATAAGCTTCACTGAGAAGATAAGATTTATGAGAAGCAGGACATCTCAGCCTAGACTCAGTGCTGCACTGAAAAAGCTGCCCAATTCCCAGGCTGTAGGCTCTTTCTGCAAGGCAATACACAGTTTGTGGAAAAAGGCCTCGTTCAGCACAACATGGGCATCAGTGGTAAGAAAGCACATCATAATATGCAGGCCACCGGTGGAGTGGCTGATTGTATGAAATAATTCTTCCTAGGAGAATTCCTAGGACTTGATAATTAAGAAGTTTGTATACATTTATCACATATTTTAGTCCTGAAGAAGTTTGGCTTTGATAATTGTTTTTTCACATATAGGTCATAAAAAACTTATCAAAACAGAAGCATCCCCCTCTCAAAAGATAGAAGAAAATAATCCAGTATTCATTTCTTGTTCTTCCACAAAATACAGAATCTTAAATTGAGTTTCTGAATAATTCAGTGGATCAGGGGCTGAAGGAGACGACTCAAGAGCATTATTTTCTTTTGAGTCTACTTCCTCAACAACATCCAGTCTAACTTATGAAGAATGATAAATTGTAAGCCTACTATAAGCTATATCTGAAGCAAAGGGAAACCAGACTATAAGTCCAAGGTACAACTCAGACTCAAACTCAGATTCAATTTCAGAGGAGACGAAGTTCTAAAGCGAGGCACTACGAAGCAGCTTACATAATAATCTTTACATTAGGCCACAAGCAAATACAATACAAATAAAAACAGCAAGAGAAAAAAAAAAAAGATGATGGAAATGGAGAAGAAAATTGCATAAATAGTAGGAACTTTACATGAACTTGGCAATCATATAATTGCACTTCATTATTTATATATTTCAGTTTCATGATTCTTCACAAAGCTGTGAGATAGTGAGGGAAAAGGATCTCCATTTTAACTTCTTTCTTAATTGTTTTAATCGTCAATTATAAAACACCATCAGTTACTTTTGCTATTCTAAATAAAACTAACTAAAGAGTGACTATAACATATTATGATAACACACACTACAGTATCATCTCTTTTACTATGGCCAAATTATTTTCAGCTTGATTCTTTCTGCAAAAAAAAAAAAAAAGACAATGCATCTGTCTGCCTAATTTTTGTTTTACATAGACATTTGGCAAAAGTTATCAATTAGGCTTAAATAGAACTTACACATATTTGTAGTAAGGCATTTTTAAAATATTTGCATTTGTTATATATTCTTTAGACATATATAAAATTTGTGTCTCATTTAAACTCAGTAGGAGTTAATGCTAACTTATATTAGTTGAGAAACACTGTTATTATTTCCATGATTATGGCACAATATGCAAAACATCTGGATAATTTTAAACGGTTGTTTTAAACAGTGGTTACATTCTCAAAATTACATGATTTCATAATATAACAAACCTGCATACAGCTGGACTAGCATTCACATGAAATATGAATATTTATATGAATATAACTGCATAAAACGGAATTTTAGGGAACATTTACAGTTGATGCCTTGATTTTGAACTTTCTCCCTTTTTTTCTCTCAGAGCAATGAAAGAGTTTTTTAGAGACAAATTACATCACTATCTATTCCAAAAGCAGCAACAGATTGCTGAAAGAAAATAGGGGAACCAAGGCCAGTTATATTATTAAAAAAATGAACATTTTGTTTTATTTCATTTCCAAACTGAAACAAAGTAACAGAAAGAGAGGCAAGAAAGAGAGGTGAAATTATAAGTGCATGTTTCACAGTAATAATCTATCACAAAATGGTTGTTTGTCCACTTTTCCAAATGTGCTGTAATCATTTAGACTCAGGAAATAAATACCTTGACCTCTGCACCGCTACTCTGAACATCAACAGTGCAAGAAGTTAAAAATCTGAGGATATTTTTTTTAGAGAATCTCTTTTTTTTGGAGACAGGAGTAATTTTGAATAAATGAAGTTCTCATAGTCGAAAGAAAAACTGAGCTAGGAATGCTACAGAACGATTCAGTATCAGAGACAAACAAATATGAAGTGAATTCAGGGTTAAAGGTTATTTTATAAAATTGCCATATCTTCTTTTATGGATGCTGCAGTAGGCTTTCTGTGAACAACATTACAGATAGTAGTACAGGAAACACAAAGCATCTTAAATATTTAGTAGCAGAGGTATATGCTATTGAAAATTTTATTTAGAAAAACTACATTAGTATTCTTTAGCACAATACCCAGAGCTCAAAAGGTAAGAGTAGCTCCTGTAAATGCTAGCAGAGTGCATCAACTTAAAAGATACAAATGGAACCTTCTCAAACTCCTCCTCCAACAAAGATAATAAGCATTAAAACTGAGAGTAATGCATCATTTACAAAAATGGATCACCATTAGTGCATTAGCTAGTGCTCAGTCAATCTTCAATACTGGTTTATAGGTCAGAAGAAGGCCATATATATATATACTTACATAGATATCTATGTAGCTAACAATTTGTCTAAATAAAGATAAGTTAAAAAAACAAACAACCATCAGAGCTTGTGTTAACATGAGGATGCAGAAAATGATGGCATGCAAAGTACTAGCCAATATTTTAACAGGGTTATACACTAGTAATTTTGCAGGAGTGTGTACAGATTTCAAGGCAACTTCAATTAAAACTGTTTCATCCACATTATTTTTAAAGCTTGGAACATTAAAACATCCATTAGGATGATAAATTTTAATCATAATTTTTATGGTTTTTTCTCCCTTTTTTTTTTTTTTTCAAATCTTTCTCCAATAATAATGATTTGAGAGTTCCATAAGGACAGAGAATATCTTCATTTAAGTCTTTATTTTGTCATAATCCGTTAATGTACCAAAAGGCAATCAACAAGGCAGTTGTTCTCACCTGTATCCGTTCAACTTCTAAAAAAGTTGCTGTCTGGAATGCTTTTTCCCATAGTGCTAGGTCAGACTCTAATTCCACAGAAAAGTAAAGATCTTCTCCAGATTCAGATTGGACACCAAAACAATGTTTCCGCCGGTCCAGTAGATCACTGTCCTGATGAAAACCTGAAGTTATATAATCTGGCATACATCATTACATTTTTTTTTTTGTTTTTGCAAATATGCCCCAAATCTAGCCTAAACATGAACATCTCAAACAATTTTAAATAGGATTCTGATATTCAAGGTGGTACAGAACAACATAGTATATCTGGCATAAATTTCACTATTTTTAACAAATAGTGAAAAATGTTATCAGCTAAATGTCTTTAAATTGAGTAAGTAATACAAAAGGCAGCCACTTTCTATTCACGTGAGAACAAAAAGCTAAGTTTCTCTGGTCTGTGTGACTCTCCCATCCCAGTTTGAAAGGCTGGCCAAAGGAAGCAACAGATTTATTTAAGTAAGTATCTAAAAAGCCCATCTGTTCTTCTTTGCCTATGGAAGCTAGATAAAATAAGCCCATATTTCTGACGGCTTAAATATCCACCGTAAAATCTGTGTACATCTATATATTACCAGCAGAGACTGTGTTGGCGACCAGTGATTAGTTTGCTGGCTTTGGACCTGGAGCAGGAAGATGCTTTTGGCTTTACTTTCAATGCGACAACATATAGGGAATGTCTGATTGCAGAAATATATAACATTTAATGATTGCTAGCAAATCAAAGAATAATCAAGTTAATCAGGAAATCTATCACTTAAATGTTTTTCAAAGATTTTTTTTTTTTTCTTTCTGAAAGAGTAGAGGATACTTTATATGCTAAAATTCTAGCACGTCCTTGTGAAAAATGTCCTTGCAGAAAATGTTTTAATTAATATTGTTCCTACTACAGCAAAGCAGCTGCCACAAAGCACAGGCTCACCAGCTGTCCTTGAAAACAGTTTGGAAAATTTGGGTACATGTAGCTTAGGTGAAATTTCTACATGTTATCTTGTTTCAGAGGTCATAACTGAGATCAGCAAAAGATTCCCAGGATAGTATCGCCATCTGGTTATCATAACCTGAACAAACCAAAGGGGGACCATAACTAGTAATACAAGCCTTATATTGTTCAAGCCAACCTGGGGCAGACTACCAGGAACCTCAAGCTGGCAGGAAATGTACAAAACAGGAATCTCTATGATAAACTATTAATCTTGAGAAGGGATGAAGGCAATAGTGGAATGAACACTACTTTCCCCCTTTTCATTCAAGTGATAGACTTACTCAGAAAGTAGGACAGAATCCATTCCTGGGTGCTCATGGCTCAAAATAGTTTTAGTGTCTAGAAAAAACAGCTGTGAAGGCAATACAGCCTCTCTTTTCCAATCACAGCTACTTCATACAGTGTAGCAGCACTTCTCAGCTAATAGGTTTTTAGTGGAGTCTTAAATTCATCAGGGTCCCAGAACTACACCTGACTGATACACTTATTGGTTCATAATCAAATAGACCTATTCAGGATGTAGTTTTACAAAAGTAGTGTGTAGGCACATGTTGTTTCCAGGGAATAATTTAATTCTTCATACTTGCAATTTCAGACAAAACTAGAAATATTTTGAATTCATCTCCACTTATTCTTGACAAGAGGCAATACAGAAAAAAATATGAATAATAGCACAATTGTTCATTTTTTAAAACAATGCTACAGCATTATGTGGGATTACAAGATTTGCACTCACTTCAAGCAACTGAAGCAACAAACACTGATTTTAAATGGGAGGAATTACAGTGCCTGGTTCCAGAATGCATATTTCTATGACTCTGCTTTGCTGGGCACAGTTAAGGTTTGACTCTTTTAAATTATACTGTTAGACTTTCAGATTTTTACTGGATTTTTTTTTTTTTTTTTTTTTTTTTTTTGTGCATGTGTGTGTGTGTGTGTGTTTTCTTCCTACTAAGAACATCCTGGCTATGTAAAAGGGTTGTGCTCTTCTATAAATTGTGAAAATGAAAGTGTTAAAAGTTGTATTGAGACTGACCTCTGTTAAAATGTGTTTGAAAGTGCAAGAATCTTGGAACAGTCTTTTGAAGTGATTAAATAAAAGCCTATGCATTTTATTAACAATATTTTTTAGCAAAAATTGTAGTAGATCCTGCTGAGTATTTCATTAATCCTAGTGATTGGAGGGAGAAAGGAGATAAAATGAATCTGGAATATTAAACCATGCTTTTGCTATTTACACATTAACATGAGAACATATTCACAGAATCATACAGAATCATACAGAATCACAGAATTGTAGGGGTTGGAAGGGACCTCTAGAGATCATCAAGTCCAATATTGCACTTACAGAAGATCTGATCAGTACAAGGTAGCACTTCTTCTCAGTGGTTTACAAAAAATATTAAAGTATTTCAACCACTACAGACTGTGACAAATTACACGCACAATGTACATACTAACAAAACAGAGAAAAGCAAAGATATTTAAAAAAAGAAAAATACAATAAAAAAAGAGCATTTCTTCATACCAGAAAATAACATTGAAAAATAATAATAAAGTTTATGGGAATTTATCTTTTCTTATTTGGATTGAAGAGCAAACAAACAAACAAAAATGAATGACAATTTATCAAACCAAAAAATATATATATTTTTAATTAGTTCTTATGATCAGTATGTACTTGTGATTTTGATATCACATTACCATTGATATCATATTATTACCATGCCATGGACATGGTAATGATGTGGTAAAAATGGTAACAGTAAAAACAAAATCCAGTCAAATATATGTGAATGGTATATTTTCACTTACAATGACATCTCCATACATATGAGATAGTAGCTTCCTCGTTAGTAGAATTTTCTCCTATTTGTAAAAAGAATTTGATATCCCAGCAAGGCTCTCTTTAGTGCTTCTGCTCCTTTTTGCTACAAGACTTTTCTTCAGGTTTTTATTTGTGCTCAGGCATGTAAAAAGTGAAGCCTACATACCAATTCACAGATTTAACCCTGTTTTTACTTATAGTATAGATAAATGTAGGAAAAAATAAGTACACAAACTTAAAAGACAGCTATTAAAAAATCCTAGAAAAAGTTGGAAATCAAAGTGAAATTTTGTCTCAGGAATCCAACTGAGAATTACTCAAATCTCCCTGGAAGTTTAAGATGAACCTGTCAGGAATCTTAAAAATAGGCTTGGATTAAGAAGAAATCATTGCTAATTGACTTTTACAGAATATTTACTTCATTTAAAATATAAAATAATGTTCTACTCTGTTTAAATGTGGTTACAACTTTGTATTTTGACCCTGCATTTTTATTATTACTCAGAAGTCAATTATAGTCAATAGCTAATTTCATCTTATTTTTGAGCCATTTTTTCATACTGGTAATGATCAACTGTACCATTTACCCCTGATGTTCTCAACGTGAATTAATACAGACTTTCTGAAGATGAACAGTCAGAAAGCTTGTAGCAGTATGCTAATTTCCTACTGGAAGGAAAGTAGTCCTGCTGAAGGATGAGTGGTGAGAAAAGTCTTTGGCTTATACCCAGCTTCAGGGTAATCCAGCATCTCTGCTGACAGGATGATATGACTCCTGCTTGTCTAATTAATAATGATGTCCATGTTAAGTGAGAGTAATAAATTTGTCTAAGGGAACTAAGCATGGCTCATTAGGCAGGTCCTTTCAAATTAAGGCAGAATACCTCTTTATCACTAAGCAATTACATCACTTTCTCTACAGCAAGAGAATTTTTTCTCTTTGAAATCCTGGCCTCTCCAGAAATAATAGTGCTCCTTTTTGATTACATGTATTTTTTTTCGTTTTCTGTAAGATGGATGCAATAAATACTCATATTTGGGCTATTTGTTAAATCCACTAAGATGTTAGAGACTCTGAACTCTGACTGCAATGAAGACCAATTGTTCTATTCTACAATGATTTGCGCAGGATTAAACAAAACTATGTCCACGTGTTCCATTTATGACATTCACCCAGAAGGACTTATTTGAGAACAGTCTTACTACTGGTTCTCTTGTTAAATATAGGTTATATATATATATAAGTATATATATATATAATATATATATAATGGACAAAGTAATTAGGAGGTGGAACTGTATATACCAGTGACACCATGAGCAGTTCTTGACCTGTGCAATCAACTATATAAGATGTTCAAAACCATCCAAATCAGAGCTATATACACAGACAAAACAGACCTTGATATATTTTATTTTCTCTTTTAAAGTGAGGTAAAACTCAATGTTTGTGATAGTGATTATAATTCTTAATAACACAGAGCTGAAAAAAAACCAACAACAACAACAAAAACCTGCTTCCTTTTTGAACTACTTTAGACAGTCCTGAAATAAAAAGAAATCTGTCTTACAAAACTCTCTCCCATCAATTCAAGAGTGCAATAATATTAAGATGACTGTAAAAAATGATCACATCATGCCTTTACACCTGCTGGCACTGGCATTAGAGCACTGATTATTTTACACTTATTATCTCCATCTACATAAACAAAACTCCTTTCTAAGGGATTCTAATGATCTTTTTTTTTCTTTTTTTTTTTTTCTGAAACTTTGGGAACGCTCCTTTCAGGCATCACCATTAGTTGCTATGGTGATAGTTCTAATAGCATTTACAGGCAGCAGGAAACTGATTCACTCCAAAGTGAAAAAGAAGTGATACTTCTTCTCCAAAAAATACTCATTAATCAAATAATAAAGAAAAAAACCACCCCATGTCACTTGCATGCAAGCACGAACAAACACATGAAATCTTTTTTTTTTTGAATTTTAATATCAATAACATACAAAAAAAAAAAGTTGCAATTGCATACATGTGATTAATTAAATAGCTACAGAATAACAGCTAAACTAAAACAGGGCATAGTATTTTTCAATGTTCAAATTTTATGAAAATACACATTCTGAAAGGGAAAAATAGTTATGAGTACAGGATAAGTTTTAGTTTCAATTAAATTTCCGTTATGAAGGTCTGTCTGATTCCTTAACAGAAGTAAAAAGTTAATTCCCTGTAACCTACTAGGGACAGTAGTAAGCACAAATGTAAAACTAATTTCCTATTCTTCCTGATTAAAAGGTAAT